TACTGTTACTTTAAAAAGAAATACATTTTAAAGTTCTAAATTCTAGCCTAGACCCTCATTGAATATTTGGAATACAATGATGTTTTAGTAGGGCATACCTGACTATAAAATTTCTGTCTTCCCAAAGCTAGTCACCATTAAATGTGTAACTCATCATATAACTTTATTGCTTAAAATATTTAATGGTTCTCAATATTAAGTGTCATAAAATTCAGGTTCCTACAACTTCTTTCAGAATAGCTCTAGCACCACTTTACTGAAACTTTTATAATATATTAAAAAATACTCTAGTGTGAACTATTATCTCACTGTTTTAGTATTTCATGTATACATGTTTTTTGGCAACTTTACAAGTAAGCAACTTGAAGTCAGTAATATTGATCTCTTTTTGTCATGGTTTTCTTAATTTCAAACGGAGTATGTTATGTCAGTGGTACCAAGTTCCCCTCCAGCTCTAAACTTCTACTAGTCAAATATTCTCCATTCCATGTGACAACTGTTCAAAGCTAAACCAAAAGGAAGCATTAAAATAGATATTAGCTTATTGATATCACATTTTAGCATAATAGGTTATATGGGCCTGAGTAATGAAATTGTGAAGCTATTACTCCAATCATAATAAAATTTGTATGTGTAAAGCAACTTTGCTATTACACAAAGATTTTAAGTCATAAAAAACTAAATTCAAATGTGTTGTGTTTAAGTCACCCTATCATAATGTGCACTGTGTGTTAGTTAAGTCATAAAGCTTTAGCGTTCTGTCTTACAAAGAAGCTGAAAAAAAAACCGATTAAAAGAAGGTAAAAGAAACGTAACTGAGAGTTTAGTGTTATCTGTAGTCTCCAAATCTCTGTATAGAAGTTGACAATCTTAAAACATTTTCGAAGCATACCATACAACATTCCATTTTCAGATTCCACCTTCCTGGTTGAACACAATGATAGAAAAGACAAAAAGAAACCCAGCATGCTAGTTTTTAATAGGTAAAAACCTAGGAGTACTATACTACTATTAATCTACTATCTTCCTCCTCTACAGTTTACTATCAGAGTGCTTTCATTCTTCTTACTGACAAATGTGGAGGAGTGGTCTACCCTCTGACCATTTATTCTCCTTTGATCCACTCAATGCTTGCAACCTGGCTTCCCTCAGCTATTTTACCAGATCTACTTTTTTCTTTAAACACCTAGGAAATGTAATTCCCAATATTAAATGGTCACCCCAGTCCTTAAGCTTTTTTATCTTTGTTTAGAATTTTACTTCAACCACCAACTTTCAAACCTTTCTCCTGCAGGGACCTTCATAAGCCTGTGTTTTCTTAATTCTCTACCTATTTCTGATTTGTTGTTGCCTCTTTCACTGCCTCTTATTTGCCTGCTCCCTAAAACTGTATGTTCCACAATGTGCTTCTCCACCTTCTTCTTTCCTTTCACTATCTCATGACTTCATTGTTTCCCATGGTTTCAGTTCTACCCTCAATGCAGACAACTATCAAATTTGGAAGTCCAGACTTCCTCCAATCTTCAGGTTCATAGTTACATTTATACCTGGATATTTCCATGGCCATTCCACTTCAAGATAATCTATACAAACTATTTTTCTTCCCAAATCTGGGCATCCTCCTGTATCTTCCATCTTTATTTAAAGAAAAAATATTAATCTTCCCAGTGACTGATATTCAAACCTGAAGTATCATCTCTAAATCCTTGCATTCCTAACCTCCCATATCCAGTGGATCAAGTCTTGTCTACCTTGGTGACGGCTCACACATTTTCAGTCTTAGCAACTGCCTTAGTTCAGACTCTATCCAACTGGAGCAAATTCTTTAAAGACTCACCTTTTACTCGGTAGTATGCAAGGTGTCTGGGCTAAAATTCCTGGACTGTGTCTTAGTAACTGCCCTATCTTACACCCTTGTATTTTCCTATCTTGACTCTTAGTAGGTCAAGATTTCTCTGAGTGAAGTTTGTCTTTGTTAAATTTGGTTCATGATCCATCATTTTACAAGCTTTACTCAATAGCAGGCTTTTAGGCTAGACAATCCTAGACTTACAAACAAAGCAACACATGTATCATCATTCACCAAACCAAAAGGATAGCCTTATTTTTTAATGTTATTTTTTTCTGAACATAACATAGACACACTTGAAAAATTTGGAAAATACAAAACAAATATCAGTCCCAAATTCTACCAATTAAAACATGGCCAGATTTCTCTCTTTTCTTGTTTCTATGCTTTTTAAAAATAAGGTTGGGAATCCAATTTAAACTTAAAATGGTTTTCAGAAAACCATTTTAAAATTATGCACAGTTGCAGCCTGGAAAACTTAAGGTGGTGCCTTATCATATCAATGTTAGGAGCTTTATTTAGTGCATTTAATGTAATTGGCAATTGCAAAATCCACTTTGCCTGCATATGTGAAAAATATAGATGGTTATCTTGTTGGCCCTATGAAATTCTGCCCTTAATATTCAGTATATGCTCCACTTTCATTAATTTCTTCTGTCACAATGTTCTGCCTTAGCACTCAGTTGCATTCTTTTCCTTTTTTTCCCTGTTCATTATGGTTTAAATCTGAGGACCATATGAGGGTAGAAAATATTATCTTTTAAAAAATTACCAAAAATTACAAAGGCAAACCATTTTCTTAAAGTTGAAGGACAAATGTCAAAATGTTATTTTCGCTTATAGTCTTCTCCCAACCCACTAAAGAGAGTTTGGTTAGATCTCAGAGAAAATTACATTCCAGAGTAGTTTTGTTGCTTTTTTTTTTTTTTTTTTTTTTTTTAATCTTGTCCCAGAGATAGAGGGCCACTTTACTACAATCAGTAAGTGTGGTATAGAATTTCATGCAAATGAAGTGTGCCAGCAGTGTGACAATTTTAACATATTTTAACAAAAACAAACAAAAATGAATGCATAAACTTGCTGCTGCTTAGACCACTGTAGCTTCTAGTACCCAGTTTCTTTTACTGATTTAAAAACAAAAAAAGTTGTGCCTGAACAAAGATATTATTAGCTCACTTTCGCACTGTTAATAAAGGTACTACCTGAGACTGGGCAATTTATAAACAAAAGAGGTTTAATTGACTCACAGTTCCGCATGATTGAGGAGGCCTCAGGAAATTTACAGTCATGGCAGAAGGTGAAGGGGAACAAGGAGCTTCTTCATAGGAGGCAGGAGGGAGAGAGCACAGCAGATACCGCCATTTTTAAAGCCATCAGATTTCCTGAGAACTCCTGCGCTATCACGACAGCAGCAGGAGGGAAACTGCCTCATGATCCAATCACCTCCCACCAGATCCCTCCCTCAACACATGGAGATTACAATTCGAGATGAGATTTGGGTGGGGCCACACAGCCAAACCATATCAGATCCCAATTTTATTTTTAAATATCTATAAATTTTTTATATTATGCTATTCGTTTCAGTGAATAACTTTTTTCTTCCCTTGAAATATTCTTCAAAATTAATTTCAAGGGCATCATAGTAGTTCATTAATACATATATTTGTTTTTTTAACGTTTTTTCTATAAAAACTATATATTTCAAATGTTTGTCAGTAATTTTATTTCTTTTTTTAATGTTTTTCTTCACTTAGCCTCAACTTGAAACTCATAATTTTATTTACTTACCATGGGATCTAGAAGAGGCATTACTTAGTCAAAGAGTAGATTTTTAAGCTTATGATTTACATTTGCAAATTGGTTTTCAGCAAAGTTGAAACAATTTACTGTTAAGCCGGCAGAAGGTAAGAGGGCTCACTTGCCAACTGCAGAGTTCCTAAAAGGGCTCTGGGTGCCTCTAGTATTTCCCGTCTCCAATTCCTCTGCACTTCACGACAACTTCCTAAACACAGTTATGATTATGGGCACTCAAGAAATTATCGTGATTCTCTACTATCCACAGAGTAAAATTCAAACTTCTGAGCGTGGCATCCAAATCCTCCACAAACTAGTTCCAACTTACTTTTTTGTTTCCCCCTCTCCTCCCCACGACTCACCCTCTAGCAGTTCCACTCCTGGATACATTTAGAATCACCTGGAGAGGTTTTAACAAAGATACACACCAGGGGTCCATTCCAGACTAATTAAGTAAGACTGGGAACTGGCTTTTTGAGTGCTGGGTGGGTGCACCAAAATCTTGCAAATCACCACTAAAGAACTTACTCATGTAACCAAACACCACCTGTTCCCCAAACACCTATGAACATAAAATTAAATAAACAAAAAAATCTCCATTAGATTATTCTAATAGACAGTCATGGTTGGAATCACTGTGAGTTAGCCTCTTCTTTCTTAAAGTGAGGTATGTAGAGAGAGTGGGAGATTACTGGTCAAAAATGCAAATTTTGGGGTCTCACTTTAAGCCTACTAATTAGACATTTTAGGCCTAGAGACCAGGAATCTTCAGTTTAACAAAATTTGCAGATTCTGTGGTTTGAGGGCTAGAGCTTTAGCCGGAACACATTGTTTCCATTTTCTTAATGATGTGCCACACTTCCTATCTTTAACATATGCCCTCTGTTCTTTGTGCTTTAAACACACACACACACGTCATATCTATTTTTTAATCCCAGCTTAAATGCTCATTCTTCCAGCCAGGTTTAAATGTTGCATTTTGTACTTTCATTGTTTATATCTTTGCACTCTTGTATACGCCCATCCAGCCCTGAACTAACATAGTCGTGGGGATCTTAAGATCCACTAACAGGCCGGGCGCGGTGGCTCAAGCCTGTAATCCCAGCACTTTGGGAGGCCGAGACGGGCGGATCACGAGGTCAGGAGATCGAGACCATCCTGGCTAACACGGTGAAACCCCGTCTCTACTAAAAATACAAAAAACTAGCCGGGCGAGGTGGCGGGCGCCTGTAGTCCCAGCTACTCCGGAGGCTGAGGCAGGAGAATGGCATAAACCCGGGAGGCGGAGCTTGCAGTGAGCTGAGATCCGGCCACTGCACTCCAGCCCGGGCTACAGAGCAAGACTCCGTCTAAAAAAAAAAAAAAAAAAAAAAAATCCACTAACAGAATTAAATTTTTCATGTGCAGATAGAATATCTGATTCACAAGAATATTTCCATAGAGTCTGGCACATTTGTCTACAAATAGCAGATAGATGAAAACTATGTTAAATGTTGTAATCAAATAACTAAATGTTCCTAGCCTGCGCTCTCCTTGATAAGTAATTACCAAACACTGTTCCATAATACTATTGAAGAGAGTCAATGAAAGAGAAAGTAATCTAGTTTGGGTTTTTGTTTTTCTTTTTCTTTTTTTTCTTGGAGGGGGAGTATCTTTTTCAATAAATATTCAAATACCTAGTGATTTGATAACTAAGCTCACTCAGATTTGCTTTGCTAAATCAAGTATATTTTTTGTCTACTCAATAGCTTATTATATGTGATCTTAGTGAAAGGCTCTACCCAAGTTGTAAGCCATTTATTTAGATGATTAGTTCTCTTTGGCTGATCATTTTGATACAAGACATAAAGTGAAAGGAAATGATTTAGTGTTTTGTTTTGGTAGGACCCAAGCACAGGTGAGAGTTTAAAGTCTGGTATTCCAGATGGAAATCAGCTTTAGTAAATGCACAATCTCACATTTTAAAGGAATGAATGTGAGACCAATTCATGAAGCTGTCCCTCAATCCTGTTTCTCTGAAGGCCATGCTCAAATGAGAACTCTTTCACTAAGGTTTCTAAGAAAATCCTTTCTAAATCGGTGTTTCTAAAGCACTAAATATCATTTGCATGGTATTTATTGTTTTTCCCCGTTCTGTCTCAAGAACATCTCAGATTCATGTACATTTCGTCACCTGTACCTGACTCTAAGCTCCTGAAATTAGGGAGTAGGTATTTTTCAGACTTACATTTCTTATAGTGCCTAATGATATTGCCTGGCACACCAAAGACATCAATAAATCTGAGACAAATGAGTAGATAATAACAGTAGATAAATGCTGCTGAAACCTAGCTATAATATAGAAGTTTTTCTTTAAATTTACTTTATCCAAACCATAAGCTATCTTTTGGCCTGGATATCATCTCATCTCATAGACAAGGGGAAGAATTACACTATGGTCATGGATAGAAATAGGAGATAATTTACCTCCTCTTTACCCAGGTAGACAGAATATGGAGGCTGCTGAGAGAAGATTTTAATTGTGTGCAAAATACGTAACTACTCTACATTTTAGTTTACCCCTCTATAAATTGTAGAAAACTTTCTGTCTATCATATAGGGTTACTGTTAAAAGTAGCCTAGTTACTGTATGTAAAAGTATCTAGTGCATGGCACATGGTGAATAATAAATGGTATTTAGTTGTTTTAATCCTTTCTATCTGGCTTACAAAAACAAAAGGACATGATAAGTTTGTTTATTCAGAAGCATTTGGTTCTGAAAAATGAAACCAGGGCATAAAGTATATCAGTAATAGTAAGGTGTACTGTTTGACACGAGTTACAAGTACATGCTATGTATTAATGTGAGATAAGTTGAATTAAAAAGGTAGATAAGTAGAATAATTGAAAGAAGACTTGGCATCCTAAGCTTCTATTAAGGTTCTGTGACTTATCAGTTGTTTGAACTTGAATTTGGATAGCTATTCTAAACGGATCATTCTGGGTAGAAAAACGTAAATGCTTCTTTATCCAGATACATAGACAGATAGAAGAGTTCTCTTCAGTCGCCATCTAAGGGTAAATAACTTGCCCTTAATAGATGGCACATAAGGATTGTGGCACCTGGGCACTTAAATGCTGAATGTCCATTGAGCAGAGAGTATACAATTCTAATTACATATGACAATGACCCAAAAACTGTTTGAATTGCATGTTGCTTCTATTTCTATCTAGTCAGAACTTACCCTTGACAGTTCAGAGTGTGACTGATGAATGATAAGGAAATAAGTTGCCTTTAAACTTTTCAGATAGCCATGTGACAATGAAGCTCAAAGTTTGAGGAAGCAACCCAACAGAAAAAAAAAAGAAAAAAAAAAAGCATTGAAAATGGAAAATTACTTCGGGAAAATTGAATACAGATGTCAAACTATCCATGGAAATTACAAACTATTGCTTCTGAATGTATTAGTTTGAACCACACAACATTGTCTCTACTTGCCTTTTTTGACTTACAGAAATGATAGTTCATACGTTTTTCAAGATAACAACAATTAGGCTTTGTTAAGATATATTATCACTCTTTTGAAGAAAGGATAGCTTAGTTGATTTTCTATAGAGTTGGGGGAGAATAATAGAAGAATGAAATATCATTCTTCTATTAGGTTTATATTGGAGGAATCTAGATATATGAAATAAAAGGAAAACAAAAAGCACACATGGTAAGAAAAAGTTACCACTAAGCTTCTTTTGATAGGAGCAAAAAGTGGAAAGACACATGTGATTATCAGAGAGATATTGTGTTGGAAGTATTGACCAGAGTGGGGAGCTATGATTTAGAAGAAGGGGGAAGTCATCAAGGTTGTGATACCCATGGAAATAGAAATCTTAAAAAAGAGATTTGGAGAAAGCAGTGCACAATAACTAGATCTGGAGGAGAGTGAGCAAAGCCAGAAGATAAAGCAAGCAGAACTATGAAATAGTTTTTATTATTGATTCTGAGATTCAGGGAATCCAAGAAGATAGTGGGAATCTGACCAAGTGAGTTAACAATCTTGTTCAAAACTCTATAGTACATCACTCTCATTTGCTGTGGCAATTCTTTATATTTTGAGAACATAATTATAATAAAAATATGTAAATGAAGTCAACAGAAAGTTGAGGTGGAACAGTACATCCTGGGGTTAGCCTTATATTGAGGGGTAGTTCTTGACCATGTTTGGGAATAAATTGGTCTGTCAGTAAGGAAAACAGTTTCATGAAGAGGAAGAATCTTACCAGTGTATAAAAGACTAGTTTGAGTTTGTGCACTGAAAAGGGGCTCCTGGGTGGCAGTGTCTCATAAATTCTCCTACTGACTTTCATCAGTAGCTGTGTTAGGTAACAAATCACACTGTTGCATGTCCCCATGTTCTCTCTGGCTTAATCCATCAATGGGAATTGGAAATAACTACCGGAAGTCCCTCTGGACGTGGCGAAGGCAGAAGCTTTGCCTCCCAGGATTCTATGGAGGGGAAATAAGCAGGGAGGACTTTGTAAAATCAGAATCTTTTTAACCTTATAAAGTAGATGTGTCAAAGGGCTTACGGTTTCACACTCTTAGCTGAATTTTTGGGGTGGAGAAATCTAGAAATACTGTGGATAGAGACCCTTATTATAATCCAAATAAAGAAGTAGGACTGTGAAAGAGGTAGTGTAAATCAAGAACCCTTAAGGCATATTAAAGTGAGTAAAAAGACTTAGTAACAGAATAGAGTTGGAGTATATAACTTAGAGGAAACATGAAAAAATAACACCAAGGATTTTGGCCCGGGAACTGAGAGGAAAAAAAGTGTTAATTTAGACACAAGTTGGGTATTTGTAAAGGAAAACATGTTCAATGAGGAAAATAATTGTTTAAATGTTTTCGTTTTAAATTTGAAAAGACAGAGTTACATCCAAGGAGAGAAGAGTTGTGAATAAGTGACTGGAGATAATAATTTGAGAATTTTCTGTGCGAAAATCATCTACAATGGGATCTCGGTTTCTTCTTCTTTCTCAACCCCAATCAACGAGTTGTGTCTACCTTGAGCCTCAGATTGTAAAAGATTTTTAGTCCACAGCTAAGCTCCACAGGAAAGTCCCATGATCACTTTCCAATTTCAATCGTGCAATCTAGTGGCAAGAATGACTTTAAGGACCACTTACCTGCCCTCACAAAAGAGACATATAGATGGTACTGAGCTAACTGGGCAAAGAAGTAGAGCAGGACATCCATCCACATCATGAGTGCAGAGCCTCAGTATTTTCCAGAGTTGGGTGTGGGAAGGTATTACGGGGTGAGGCCACATATAGAGATTTAGAAAGAAATCCAAGAAAGTGCAATATCATAGAAACCAGGAGAGGAGAGAAGGCCATAATGAAGGCTCTGGTCAACATGGACACATTCTTCCAGCAAAGCTGTAAGAACAATGAGAGTGAGATAATAACTAGACTGGGCAATGACATGGTTTGGCACCATGGTTTACATCTTGGGAAACATTGTATTGCTTCAGGGAGTGACAAAGTGAATCACAATGAGGAAGAATAGTCCATTTTTATGTATTACACCATTAAATAATTATTAACTCACCTCTCTACCTTCATTTACTTAGATAATTTATCATTGTATTTTCATTAAAATCAGATCATTAGTTTGGATAATACAGACCTCAGGGAAAAAATTACTCTTAGGTTTGTTAAAAATTGAATAAACGTGTTTTCTAAACTTGTTTTAAAATTATTGTTTAGAACTCATGTGGATGCAATTTTAAGAGATGCATCTCTTAAGACACAATTTTAATAGGTGCATCTTTTAAGACATAATGTTAAGAGGTGCAGCTCTTAAATTCACATTAAGTTAAGTAAGCCAAATCTTACTATAGAAGTTTCTCATCACATATTCACCATTACATAGATTCAGATATGTGTTCTTAAAGTCTTTAGTTAGTGTCTAAGTAGAACAGAGGAGTTCTACAACCATACTTTTTATTTATCAAAAAGAAAAAAAGAAAGGAAAAAGATGTCCAGATTCTCACCATCTGTCTGACTTACAAATGCACCTGACTAAAAATAAACCATTCAGGAATAAGCCATTCACACTTCCTCTGCAGTGACTTTGAAGTGTTTGTCAAGATACCCGTATTAAATTAAGAAACTTGGCGCTCTGGTCCTTTAATGGTGCTGACATTCTGACTCACATATGCCCGAGGGAAGGCAGAACACAGGACAGCTGAGAACACCAGAGAACTGGCAGTTGGGAGCCTGATGGAGGACAAGCAGGGCCTGGAGGACAGGTACGTGACAGAAGCACAGGAAAAAAAAGAAAAATGGTAAGTTGACCTGGAAAAAAATTTGAGGAGATTTGTAGGCAGAGTAAGTTAAAGTAGCAGAATACTTTCATGTAGCCCTTAACAACAACAACAACAAGAAAATAATAATAATAAAGTGGGGGGGAAAGAATCATTTCTGAGATTTGTCGATAGGAGGAAAAACAAAGAACCAAAACTTTTCCCTTGAAATGTTTACTGTTATTAATCAAGGAACATTATTAACTATTAGGGTCCTGACTAAAGGTTACATAGCTAATTAGGACTTAGAAAGCCTTAGATTTTTTAAAAAGAGTTATAGACCAGTTAGATTTATAAAAGAAATTGGAAGAATTACCATAAAAATATCATTTTTTAAAGTTTATCTTATAAAGGACAATCTGTAATCAGCATTACATGACATTTACAAAGTTTTTTCCTAGGATATGATTTAGCTCTTTCATTGTAAACTTTAAAAAAAAAAAACTCTATAGTTTGAGTATTGTTTTAACATTATCTTTCATTTCAAAGATATTGTTTCCTGATAAAACCAGTAAAAGATTGGGATTTTGCTATTTAGTAACATTTGACAAACTGTGATTTACTCTTTTTTTTTTTTTTTTTTTGGTCAGAAGAAATGAAAACAAGAATTCATCACTACAGAGGCACCCTGACAGTGTAAATATCATGAAAAGCTAAAAACTAGAATCATCTGGTAAAATAAATAAGACTCATCATGTCCTTTTCGGTCCGTAACCAGAAGGGCAGCAAAAGGCCTTTGCCACTGGGGCCTCATCTTTTGCTCCAAGTCCCACGTAGCAATTACCTGCACTTTCAAGAGGAGAAACAACGACTACACCTAAAGAAATTCCTTCTTCATAGGATGTTTCTAGTGGCCAAGATACAAGCAAAGGTAGAAAGAAAAGATGTTGCTGACTACTATGAACAAGTGTTTCAGTCAGTTTTGAAACATCACCTGGGAGAAACAGTGACAGGATTGCTGCTCATCTATCCTACTTCCATTCTGCATATCCTCGAGTCCTCCAGCGACACTCTCTACCAAGTGCTTTTAGATTATACTGGCCATGACAAAGATGAAACAGAATTTTTTATTCAACAAATGAAAATTATAGTCATTTCTCATAACATTCCAATGAGGCTTTTTATGCAATGGCATGTTTCAGTGATAAAAGTGCCAGTTATGTATCTCGATGATGTGACACAATCACAGTCCCTAAAAGAGGTCATCACAGATTTTCTCACACAAACTCATAAACTGTCAGTCTATCTTTGCAAGACTATGAAAGTAGGCACTAAAGGACCAGGTGATAACTTACACCAAGTTGCACCTGACCTACTCCTCCCAGAACAAATCATAAAGTACTTGTGCAAATCCGAAGAATTAATGGACCCAGCAACATTTATAAACATGTATAATAGACCCATACACATCATTCTGGATTCTGAGGTGGTATGGCCTGCTCCTTCACATTTCTAGGATTGAGAGGGATAATGTGCTCATGTCTCTTAAGGAATTTGTGCTACTTAAATAAAGAAGAAAACATTCTTAAAGTTACTTGTCCCTTTTAAAAGAAAAGAAACAGAACATCGCAATATACACGGAGGTAATATATTAATCTTCACAGAGTATGTTGAGCTAAACTTTAAAATGTATCTATTTGTTGTGATATTAGAGTTCAATACATTATTTTACTAGATAGATGGGTTTAATAAGTTTATCGTAAGTTCTCAAATATTAACATCATTTTCATGAATTGACACTTTTCAAAAAAAATAAAATGGATGAAAAAAGACAAATGGAATTCAGATTATCACCCAATCCCTCAACAGTTAATGAATAGTCATGACTACACACCAGAAGTACAGTGTTCTGAGGGTATAAAATAGAGAAGAAAAATCCCACCCTTGAGTTGCTTGCAACCTAAGGTTAGAGGCAGGTACATGTAGAAGTAGTTATGATATGGTATGTAATGTAATATAATATATCATTATAGTAGCAGTATATAGGAAGGGCTTTGAGAACACAAGTGAAGGAATAATCACTGTAAAATTCCTGCATTCAGAAAACAAAATCTAATTATCAAAAATATTTCCAAAGCCCACATATTCTGGCCTATACAATCAAGAGCATTGAGACCATTATAAAGCTACAGAAAACAATAGCTATTTGGAATGAGAAGAAAATACATTTTCAAATGGCATTGTGCTACTCCATGCAAAACATCATTTATTGAACATCCCTCTATGTTACAAACATTTGCCAGGCGCTAAGGGATATGGCAGGGTACACAGAAAACGTTATCTGCCCACTATTAAAACTTACTTCTAAATGATTTTATGTAAAATAGATAATCTGGTTATTTTCTCAATTCGCTTTCTAGAAAGTAACTAATTATATATGATTTCTATATGACCAATTTCAAGTTGATCCCTTCTTTTATCCAGATGAATACTTTTTGCATTGTTTAAAAGTTTTTAGCTTGTTTAAACAACTAATTGACATCTATATTTTGAATACTGCAATGATATATGTCCCAAATTACCTTAATATCTTATGAAACAGACTTTGGAGTTAATGGAGAAAATACTTATATCATAGTTTTAATTTTTTTATTTATTTAATTTTTTAACTTATTTGGGGGCCAAACCAATCTCACTGTGCACTTCAAATTTTTTATTTACAGAAAATTTTGTTCTGCATATGAAAATACTGATCAAATTTTATGTTACAAACAAAATGTATATAATAAACAAAAATGAGATGCATCATTGTTACATAACAGAATCAAATTTTAGGAAAGACCATTCTATTTTCCAAATTTTGTAATACATCATTAATTAGAATGGTGTTTTTCACTTTTAACTGAACTTGAAGTTTCTTTCAAGTTAGTAATAGAAAAAAAATGTTTTAGACAAAATGAGAATTCTTCTAGCTAAGAAAGAGTATACAACTTTCAAAATTTATATCAATTTAGAAAAAAACACCTAATATTAATCAGCAATATGCTGTCTATTCTTTAAACTGTGAAAAAGACACAGGGGCCCATCAGTAGTAAATGATCAGTGACAAACTGACTGGAAACGTAAGTAAATATTTTCCCAGCCAAAAAAGGAATAGAGAAAACGTTTAACAAAGATATACTCCTTGGTCCAGTGTTAGAATGAATGTGAAAGTGGTTTGCTAGAGAAGACTAGCATATATAAGAGAATAATGGATAATAAATGTTTATTGGATCAGACAGAATTTCTTTAGCAGGGTGAATTTTGTTTGGGAATAGTATTTTCTAAAGTTAGCTAGTGAATAGAAGTTTGGGTTTTGGATAAAAAATTGTATGTTTATAAATAAGAAATTATGGCATATTGTATTTTCCAGAAATGGTTACTGCAATATATCCAATCCCACACACCTTTCTTACAACATGAGCTTGATATTTCTCCCATTGTGTAGTGGCTTCTAACTCTCTCCCCTTGAACGCAGGCAAACCTCCTCTCTGACTGCCTCAACCACTAAAATACAAAAGAAATGATTCCGTGTGATCTCGAAGGCTAGGTCATAAAAATGTTGTGCGCTTTGCCTTGCTCACTTGAATGCTAGCTCCTGGAATTCAAACACTATGCTGTGAGAAATCCAGCAATTTCAGACAACATCCCGAGCTGAGGTCGCAGCCAACAGCCCCTATCATCCACTAGACATGTGACCCCAGATCCCAGGCCTCCAGTAAACCTGGGAAGCCAGCTCAGCTGACATTGTGTGGCGAAGACATGAGCTGTTTCCACTGAGTCCTGCCCAAATTGGAGTTCCGTGAACATTAGTGATTATTGTTTATTTAACCACTAAGGTTTGGGTGAATGATTATGCAGCACTGTGGAAAAATAATACATATGTAATGGGGAAAATAATATATATGTATATAAGCTCTTTGTATCATTTATTATTCATTAATTTATGTACAAAAATTTATTGGATAGCTACTGGTAAAAATGTACTAGTCGGCCAATCACTGTGCTAGTCACTGGATGTACAAGTAGCAATAAGATGTATATTCACCACACTGCCTGGCATAGATTTTTTTATGGGTCTATAATACTTTTTGGTGTGAGAAATACTGATAGAAACCTAATTCACTAAGCCAAAAAGAGAATTATTAACAATCTTAATCATTTTTGGAAGAAGTTATAGAGTATCTGTCAACGATAAAATTGCTGATTTACTTAGTATATCATAATTTTAAAGAATTCATGAAGGCTCAACTATGAACATAACTGGAAAATAAACACATTGTGACTAGAAATAATTTCAGTTACTTATTTATTTGTTCATTTTTGTGAATACATCAGAATGAATTTTTTCAAATAAATTTACCCCGTATAGGAGTCACTTCTGGAAGATTTATATTTGTCCAGGTAACACTACCATTGCTGAAAACATTTTGTGACTCAATGGCAGTTGAATAAAGGAGGTTTATAAATCAAAGGGAGATTGAATATTTTAATTATACCTAATTTTTGATCTCCAAGTTATCATTACACTCCAACTTAATTAGTAACTTTAAGATTTGATCTCCATATAGAATTTTTTTTAATCTATACTCACTCTCAAAGACAGGTCTGCTGTCACTAAACATATTAAAAAGAGAGTGACAATGCTTCTAAGGAGAAGCACAAATTGTTTTCAGTAACAAATGAGTTATTGAGATACTTATATAGGTTACTAATATAATGTCTTTAAATTGGACTCATTTAGCTGTGTATGTTTCGGTATATTTGATAAAATCCAGAAATCTTATCTTCATACCTTGCAAATTTAGCTTAATGAAATCTAAAAATGTGAACTTTTAAGCCTTAGTATGACTCATAAGTTAATTCTTAATGAAAATAATAATACAATGAAGATACATGCATGCTTATGTTCATCACATCCCTGTTTACAATAGCAAAGACATGGAATCAACTCAAATGCCCATCAATCATAGACTGGATAAAGAAAATGTTATATATGTGTGCGTGTGTGTGTATATATATGTATATGTGTGTGTGTATATACATGTATGTGTGTGTATATGTGTGTGTGTATATATATTAAATTGATAAAAATTGATAAAATTTCTGGATTTTATCAAATATATATATACACACACACACACCATAGAATACTATACATAAAAAGGAACAAGATCATGTCCTTTGCAAGGACATGGATGGAACAGAGGGCCATTATCCTTAGCAAACTAATGCAGGAGCAGAAAACCAAATACTTCATGTTCTCACTTATAAGTGGGAGCTGAATATTGAGAACACATAGACGCAGGGAGAGAAACACACACTGCAGCCTGTCAGGGGTACGAGTGGAAGGAGAGCATCAGGGTAAATAGCTAATGCACATGGGACTTGATACCTAAGGGATGGGAAGACAGGTGCAGCAAACCACCATGGCATACATTTACCTATGTAACAAATCTGCACATCCTGCACATGTATCTGGAACTTAAAATAAAATCAAATGAAATTTTTTAAAAATAAAGAAAGCTATAATTGCCTTAAAATAAAATTTTAAATAAAATAAAAGTACTTAATTTAACCCAAACAGAAAAATTAATATTTAACAGTGTGAACATATAATATTTAATATTCATGTAACAACAAACATATAAGATATACTCATATAAAGCCAATGATCATATTACATTCAAGTGGTGTGGCTAGCACCATTCTAATTCTTTTCTTTTTATATGAATACTTGGCAACAGACTGCCCTGTTGATGATCCTATCCTTGTTTCAGAGTTGACATTCAAGAAGGTAATAGATTTCTTGCAGAATAACTTAAACAACATTATTTGAAAGGAAAAACTCTTCCAGGGTGAATTCTAACATTCTACTATCATCACTTTAATAAAAAAGGCATCTGGATACCTTCATGGAGCATCATTGCTTAATACAAATATAATTTGACATCCGGTGACTGTATCATAACTCTACAAACACAAAATCACATTTCAATTAAGTTAAACCTATCACTAGCAGTTGAATGTCCCAATTTCCACAAGGAAGTGAAAATGAAGCAGCCTATCACCAACCTCACATAGCCAAGTACTTTCAAATCATTTCATATTGTATTAAATAATTTAATGCAGAATTAAAGTTCTCCCCCTTGTGGTCAGTTACTTAAATTTCCTGATTGTGGACAGGATGTATGTAGTAAACACAGTGCACAGATTTTAAGAACATACAGAGAGAACCCAAGAAGTACCTTTCAAATATCTGTTTGACTCCTCTTATTCCACAGGTAAAGATTCTGAGACCTAAACACATAAAGGTGTTTTGCCAATGGTAAAAGGAAGTATAACAGTATACTGGTATAACTGTAACAGCAGCAAAGTAAAAACAAGTTAACTATATTCTCCCATTTAGGGTCTTGTGATCATTAACTTCACTATGTTAATTATGCCAACATTTATTCCTCTACAAGTAAGAAACTTTAAGCAAATTATGCCTGTCTACTCACTTTTTCTCATTAGTTTAGAATTTTTAATTGGTATGGGCAGTTTACAGTACCT